CTTGGAACAACTTAAAGGGCCATGGTGGATTCACCGTCACTGACAATTGTTAAATCAAGATTGGATTTTTTTTTAAAAGACAGACATATGATGTAGGAATTATTTTGGGGAAGTTCTATGGCCAGTGTTACACAGGAGGTCAGACTAGATGATCACAATGAACCCTTCTGACCTTGATGTCCATGAATTATGTTCATTAATCCATTTCTATTGGCATTACTAACAGTCCAAAGCTCTGTGCTGCTTTCAAGCTGCTGACTTTTTAAAGAAAACCTGCCTCAAAAATATTTTCTTATTTCCTTCTCAAATGGACTATCCTTCCCTTTGCCAAAGTTATATGGGTGAAGCTGAATTACTAGCAATGTTTAGTTCTGTACTAGTGGGAGGTGTAAGATCCATCCAATATACTACAAATGATCAGGACTAGGAATTAGTGCTTCTGAAGTCTTAACAGCTGGAAATCCTGCCTTTTCCAATAGCAAACAGAAGTTTTACAGGCTGCAGGATGTTGAACATTAAGACTGCAGTTTTGATTTATAGACTATTTATGATTGCTCATTTTAATAAGCCAATTTGGCTTTGTAGTTGAAGAAATAAAAACCAATACAATAATGATAAACCCAAGACGGGAATCCATTAGTTCAAATAAAAGCAGTGGTTTTTGTTGGTCCATTGTTTCATTTTAGTATATTCAATGCCAGTGTATAATCTAACCCAGGGATGAAGCAACCCCAGGGGCCTGGAGCCTCCAAGGTTAGCCAAAAGAAGTTGGCTGTGCTGACAAAGAAGTGCTTGTGACCAGAGCCTGCTGGAGGATGTGCTCCACTAAGCAACCTTCACAAGGAGGATCCTGATACCCAAGCCTTAACATAAAGTTGCCACCCCACCACCAGATGTAAACATAGCCTCCCAGGCCTTGGAGAACTCCAACCCATGGTACAGCCTGGACATATGGTGGGGAGGAAAAAGGATGCAATTTGTACCCTCTGTGCTAGCAGTATTTAAATTTAATCCAGGAAGTTTTAACAAGTGGGTACTTTTACAATGGAATCTAAAGGGACAGCAACAGCAATTCCTACTAGGGTATCCAAGGATTTCTCTCAGTAACTTCATGCAGCTAGTAAATTCTAGCCTGTCTCTACTCCATTATAGTTTGGAAGTTTAGTAATCAAGTTATTCTGCACCTGCCCTCTCCTCCTTTTTACTGCTTCAAATAGATAAGAACAAATAAACACTCACCATCTTGAACTACTTCTTCATCGGAGTTGCCTTTTGTTTTTGTATATTCTAACGTGTACGAAAGTCCATTACACCCCCTTGTACGGACTCCAACTTTCACACCTACCTGAAATATAAGACACTTTTAGTCACTTTTATTTAAATTTATAGTGTGCCAGCAGAGAGTTGGAAACTCAGTGAACGAATCAACTCGATAGCTACCACTCAATGTTTCCCCCCGTCATCTAGGGTTAAAATTAGGAGGAATTCATTTTAAGACTGAAGAGCCAAAATGTTTTGGGTTTCTTTCTTTCTTTTTTTTGGTACGGACTGTCTAGAAAAGTGAGTCCGAACTTTTAAGTTATAAAATGCATAATATGTACTCAAACTGAAGCCTAACTCCTATGCAGTACACCGGTACAATTGATACCTATAATTCTACACTAGTGGTTGTAATAGTGGTGAAAAGGTCAACGGAGCAGAGGCACTTCTACCATCATATTGTCAGGGTTAGCCTAAGCCCTGCCTACACTACAACTTCCCGTCTACTTTTGCTATCACACGCAGTGCTGCAATAGTGGAAAGCTACACACATAAGTGTTCCTATTGTGGACAAAGACCTACAGTGTGTAAAAATGGCGTTCTAATATAATTCAATAATAAAACTGTTGGCACCCTTGTAGGCGTTTGGCCTTATAAACAGTTTGGATGAGAAAATCTTGCTTCAAAGCCAAATGGTTTTACAACTTCAAATGAGACAGTTTATCATTATACAGTACTGTCCGTCCACAGCACTTTACAACTTGAACACACACTCACCACAGAAAGGAAGCCAGTTCTAGAGCTTAATGTGCTGCATTCCAAATTCTCTCACCTGGCTCTCATTCCGCCCAGTAAAAATCGTAGTACAAGATCTTCTCTATGCCTGTTGCAATGAGCTGCAGGCCGGCGCTTACTTCTCCTCATTGTAGGAGCAATTGAAACAATTTATGTAATGCTGGCAAGTTTGAGGCTGAGCCAAATACAGTTACATTTTCACAGCATTGCTATGCTGCTTAGTGGAGATAACCTCCATTTCACAATATACTAAAAAGTTACATGGATTGCAATTTTCATTAGCCATATTACCACTCAGCCCTTCCCATTTTTAACATCTGCTCTACATTGACCCAGCAAGCCATACTGACTCATAATTCAGTCAATATATTCTAACCACTAACTATATGTAGATCAGACCAAAAGAACATCTGCATAAACAACTGTTGAGGAGAAGTTGCCAGGGACATGTGGACCAGAAAACACTCTGCACAGTGACACTGTCTATTCCAAACAGCCACATTGTACCCTACACATAAAATCTTTAATTATACAGATCATTTCCTTTCCTCCCTTATTCATAATTATGTAGTATTGTGTTGGACAGTGTTAATGGCTGCCACCAACAAGATCTTTAATTTATGACAATCACAGACCTTGTAAACTGCCAGGCATATAACAATTAAAGCCCCATTGAGCGATAGCTGGAAACAACAACCCCACCCGGCATGGCCGTGGCAAAGTCGATCAGAAGCTAAACCATGTGAGCTGAGAGGGTTTCTTGGGTCTAGTTACAAACACAGGGACGAGGGACTTGACAAGTTGTAGTTGTGTGTGTGATAAACAGAAAGTGAGAGAAGTAGTCGTGAGAGTGGCCCTGGTAAGAAAATAAGAGACAGACTTCCTTTTGGGCATAGTACTTGTTGGAGTAGACTTGGATCTCTGAGTAAGGAAAACACTTGCTGTTTGTTTTCACTGTGTTCAGAGAAACAGGACTTTGTTAAAATTTTTAAAAAAAAAAATATAAAAAAAAAAAAATATATTATTAGTAATAATAATTTTTTTTTCTAAAAAAAAAAAAAAAAAAACAAAAATTTTTTTTAACCCTAAAAAAAAAAAAAAAAAAAAAAAACATAAATTATTCACAACAGAATAAGGGAGAAATTGAAATGATTCGTACAATTATTGTGAAGAATACAATCAATAGTTGGAGATTCTGGTCATACATGACCTTGAAAAGAAGAAGTATAAGTGGTAGTATGGACATACATTAAAATCTTGTTAAACCTTTAAGGAAAGCATGCTGGAGTTTAATCTGTCTCAAAGATTATGACAGTTGACTTATTGTCATTATAGTCATTTCCCGCCACCTCATTTGATTTTTGTACATGAAAATAAAGCTTGTTGGATAAATGCATTTATTAAAAAAATAAAGGAAGATCTCATGTCTATATATCGTCCACAGTGATTGTTTCAAGCTGCATTGTTTTACACTGATCACAAGTACTTCACAGGACAGCTGCTAGTATAATACTAATTAAGAGTGCTCTCCATAAGGTAAGCTAAAAATATTAGAATAGCGTACAAGAGTGCCTTCCATTTGTACTTACATGCTCAGGTTTATCTTTAAGAAGCTGTTTGATCTTATGTACAGCTGACGGAGTCTGAAAAATAAAGAGATTTTATTAACTTTTCCCTGCTTCTACTGTCCATTGCAAATAAAAGCACTGTTTCATTTCAGCTTCACAGCTTTCAAGTTTTCAGTTCAGCTTCTCCTCCCGCACGTTAGAAGTCCACCTCTCGCTAGCATTGGTGTCACTAGCGAGAGTATAAACTAGCCATTCAACTTGTTGTGTTTTTCAGTTACAAACCACAATTAACACCCTAAATTGCATAATTTTAAGCTGTCTGTCAGATGTAGACGCAGGACTTGTCTACACTTACCGGAGGATCTATGCTGCGGTGATCGATGCATCAGCGGTTGATTTAACGGGTCTAAGGAAGACCCGCTAAATCGACCGCCGATCGCTCTTCCGTCCACTAATGTACTCCACCTGATTGAGAAGAGTAAGGGGAGTCAACGAAAGACCATCTCCCGTCGACGTCGTGTTGTGTGGACCCCACTGTAAGTAGATCTAAGCTATGTCGATTTGAGTTACGCTATTCATGTAACTCAAACTGTGTAGCTTAGATCGACTTTTCCCTTTAGTGTAGACAAGGTCTCATAGAATTAACCTGGTTAATGCACATGAGGATTTACTGAAAAGGGCAGTTTATAAATTAACTTCACCACAAGCTGAACCATAATGTAAAGAAGATCAAATAGCCCCCTGCCTCCCACCAGACAGACAACACATTTGTAGATAATAAATGAATACATCACAGGAAGTTTGGGACTAAAATTTAAATTCTCTTTTTGAAAAATACAATACTGAAAATTGAGAAACTTCTCAAGAAAAGTTTGTCACAAGATTTTTTTTGTTAACTTTGCAACCATATCTGCAATATCATGCTAGTGCATAAAACCCAGAAAATGTTAATGTGCCTTCACTGCCCAATCTGAGTGAAATGTCAGAAGAACTAAAGAGATCACGAGACTGAAAATTTTGAAATGCTTTCAGTTTAAGATAACAAAATAAGTTTTCTTGTGTTTAAACTATGATCTTTAATCTGACAGTGTTTCTATGGGAAGCTAGCCAGACCCTGGCTCTGCACAAATCAGTCTTATCAAGGTCTAGGTGCCAGAGAACTGGCTTCAGAAACAAATAAAGCCATCAAAGAAGTCTACTTTGTACACCTGCAAGTTGTCTGATGTTCAATCACCAGGGAAACACAGGAATTGCAATACCAGAGAGGAAACACATCAATAGCATGTCTTCCACAGTGAAGATTGGCAGCTAATGCAAAGGAAAATATAAGCCCTCATAATGGTATAAATCTACCATAATAAAGCCAAAACTGACAAATGCATTCTCTCACTTATCAATGGTGAGCAGGAAATTTCCATGGTGAAAATAGGGGGCAGTTTCTACAGAAGTTTAGTTTTCATTAAAAAAAAAAAAAAATAAAAAAAAAATCTTCCTTTTATAGTTGTGATGATAACCTTCTGAAGTCGAAATAACTGAACTCTGATGCAGTTTTCCTTCTGAATCGGATAAAATCATCAACTAAGTCTCATGTCCTGATCTCAGCACACAGCCCAAGCGAGCAGATCATGCACTGAAGAGTTCTGAAGTTAAAACCATTTTGTGTCTTAGTTTTGAGAGGGGTAAAGCTATTACATCTCTAATCTGTGAATTTTTAATCAATTCCTTCCAAGCCTGTCCCCCAAATCCTGTATGCACTTGGAGTGTTGGCAGCTATTCAGATAAGTCTTCTGACTAATTTTTCCAAGGTTAATTTATATGCTGAAGGGAAATTTCTTGACCCGAGCTGGAAATCAGTTTATGCCCCAACAGTCCTTTGGATTCATATTATATTCTTGCCAGTAACGGTCACAGATAACCACTAGAAGTTTATTTTAATTTAAAAAAACAAACCTACAAAAGACATACGTATGGTTATGAGTGCAAGATCATTGATCATGAAACCAGCGATGTACCCGAGATAGATTGATAATATTTTCATCGTCTGGACAGAAGACCTAAACTCCTTCAGGTTTCCACCGCAACTTCAACCATCACCATCCATCCCCATCCAACTCTCTCAAGAACACTCCCACATCAGCATCAACACTCCCATATCATTCCCCACACCAGCATCAACTTCCTGTACACCATCATTAGTTTCAACAATGGAACCCTACAAACGACATTACACGAGAAACCTACGGATCACCACATTACCTCAAGATCCAGCAACCACCTCAGACACAATAAAATACGAATTGAAATTTATTAAATATTTTTGGATGTTTTACTACATGTTCAAATATATTGATTTCAATTACAACACAGAATACAAAAGCGTACAGTGCTCACTTTATATTATTATTTATTATTACAAATATCTGCACTGTAAAATGAGAAACAAAAGAAATAGTATTTGTCAATACATCTCATACAATACCATAATGCAATCTCTTTATTGTGAAAGTGCAACTTACAAATGTAGATTTTTTTTGTTCCGTAACTGCACTCAAAAACAAAACTACGTCAAACTTTAGAGCCTACAAGTCCTACTTCTCGTTCAGCCAATCACTAAGACAAAGAAGTTTGTTTACATTTACGGGAGATAATGCTGCCTGCTTCTTATTTCAAATGTCACCTGAAAGTGAGAACAGGCATTCATATGGCACTACTGTAGCCGTCATTGCAAGGTATTTACGTGCCAAATATACTAAACGCTCGTATGCCCCTTCATGCTTCGGCCACCATTCCAGAGGACATGCTTCCATGCTGATGACGCTCGTTAAACGAATAATGCGTTAATTAAATTTGTGATTGAACTTCTTGGGGGAGAGGCTTTTTACCCGCATTCTGCTATATATTTCATGTTATAGCAGTCTCAGATGACGACTCAGGACGTGTTCATTTTAAGAACTTGCTTTCACTGCAGATTTGACAAAATGCAAAGAAGGTACCAATGTGAGATTTCTAAAGATAGCTACATCACTCGACCCAAGGTTTAAGAACCTGAAGTGCCTTCCAAAATATGAGAGAGATGAGGTGTGGAGCATGCTTGCAGAAGTCTTAAAAGAACAACACTCCAATTTGGAAACTACACAACGCGAACCACCAAAAGAGAAAATCAACTGTCTGCTGGTGGCATCCGACTCAGATGATAAAAGTGAACATGTGTCAGTCTGCACTGCTTTGGACGGTTATTGAGCAGAACTCCTCATTAGCATGGATGCATTGCTTTTGGAATGGTGGTTGAAGCATGAAAGGACATATGAATCTTTAACGCATCTGGCACATTGTGACACCGGCTACAACAGTGCCACGTGAACTCCTGTTCTCACTTTCAAGTGACATTGTCAACAAGAAGCGAGCAGCATTATCTCCTGCAAATGCAACCAAACTTGTTTGTCTGACTGACTGAACAAGAAGTACGATTGAATAGACTTGTAGGTTCCAAAGTTTTACATTGTTTTATTTTTGAATGCAGTTATTTGTAAGTTCAAGTTTAACGATAAAGAGATTGTATTACAGTACTTGACTGAGGTGATTTGAAAAGTATTTCTTTTGTTTTTTATAGCACACATATTTGTAATCAAAAATAAATATAAAGCGAGCACTGTACACTTTGTGTTCTGTGTTGTAACTGAAATCAATATATTTGAAAATGTAGAAAACATCCAAAAATATGTCAATAAATGGTATTCTACTATTAACAGTACGATCAATCACGCAATTAATCGAGATTAATTTTTTAAATCGTGAGATTAATCACAATTAACGTTTTTAATTGCTTGCCAGCCCTACTAATTTTGTATTTCCTTATTTTTGGAGATGCAACACTGCAGATGTTAATATAGTTTCCCCCTTTAATTTACAAGTGTCCAGTTATAAGTCTCACTGATCAAGTAGCTCAATAATAGCCTGTGGCATGTGAGTTCTACAAGTTAAGCATGTAATTTAATAATCATACTCCTTTTGTCAATTTTGAAGGCCAATTTCTACACTCGATTATCTGCATACAACCCTTGTTTTAGAATGAGCACTTTCTGTGCTTATTTTGTTGCTCTTTTGACTGGGAGGTTGACAGTCAAAGTTTAGTGGCTGTTAGTCACGGTTTATCACTTCACAGCAGGGACTGCATGAAGGTCATCTTTCACCTTCTGAGGAGACTGGGAAATGGCTGACGGACCAACAATTATATTACTAGAATGTTGCTCTGCAGACGCCATGAACGAGAGAGACAGAATGGTCAATGGAGTGGAGAATTAGGTCCTAAGTTTTCTTCTTTTTTAATCCATCAAGTGCCACCCTATATACTGTGGGGGGAAGGATACATAAGAACATCTAAGTAGGCCCCTGTCTCTTTCATTTCTATCATTGGTCTTCTTACTCTTGTCTTTTCTAAAGAAACTAGTCCTTGTATCAGAAGTCCCCTCATTCACAAGTGTGCCTGCTCATTTCAGTGCCCTTCTCTGAGCCTTTTTTCTGCATTTTTAGATGACGACATGCCGTAGAGATCTTTTCTGACATGACATCAAAAGAAAAAACGCAATGGGTGGTCATAAGTATAAATCTTACCTATTTATAGGTACTTATGCAAACACATTACAAGCAGTCCAATGGGGGCCTTATTAGCACACAGCACAAGGAAAGTACCCTTAATGTAAAGTGCCATGTAAGCCAGGGGCCACTTGAGAGGTACATTTCGATAGGGCAATCACGGATTAAAAGAATCTTGATTGTACTTGTGCAGATGGGTAGAGAGAAACACAGGGCGGATCTGTGTGAACATTGGTACAGTTGACTTATCAGCACCACAGCTTCTTCCCATGCCCCCTTGTTAACATACTGTAATATCTCAGCCAGAGCACAGGCGACATCCCTGTACGGCTGAGTAGGTGGCATCAGCGAGAGATTCTTGAATTGTAACGGGAGGTAACAATTTTGCCAACTCCTAACATTCAAAATAGTGAGTCAGTCTCGTAAAAATCACAAGACTGGTTTGAAATTGGAGGTTGGAAACATACATTTGTGCTTGTGAGTGTATTTCTATACAGGGATCTTGTTGTGTGTCTTCTAGTTCCTGAGCCCTTACCGTGCGTTCACTTGCCCCGTTCAAGCTTTCCTGCCTAACCCCGAGAGGTGAAGGCTCCTTTAAAGGTAAGTGAAAGCCAAGAGTCTCGTGTAATCTCGTGATTCCAGGAGCAGGGGCTTTCCGAAAAACATCAAATATCGCCAACCTCGCAATGAAACCTCGACAGTCGGCGCCCCAGGATTCATCCCACCGCGCGCGCCCCAGCTCTCACCTGCGACCCAAGCGAGAGCGCCTGGCCGAGCCCGCCGGCGAACGGCGCGGCCGGGAGGGGGCTCCGGTCATTTGCCCCCTCACCGCCCCCGCGGGAGTGCTGCTCAGGCCAGGCCACGGAACCGCCTTCACCACGGGAGGGGGCTGCACAGCCATCGCCCGGAGAAGCGACCCCCCGCCCGCCGGAACGGGCTCCGCTCACCGCCCCGCCGCGGCCCCACAGACCTGGCCCCGGGGCTAACAGCCGTCGCGGGCGCAGCGCAACCCCCCGCGTTACTCACCAGAGTAAGGGCGGCCCGGGTGGCCTGTATCTTCCTCTTGCTCACGGCCCGGACCGTGGCGCGGACCACCGAGGAGGCCATTCCGCCCCTCAACCCCGTCCTCTCCTGCTGTCCATGGGCCCAGGGCAATGCGTTCTAGTTTGCCTCCGGTGTCATGGCGGCCGGCGTGTGACGTCATCGCTACGCGCCGGGCAGGGGAAGGTGCGCGATGACGGAATGGGGGAGGGTTTCCGGAAGGGCTGGCCGGACGGGTTTGTGCAGGGCTTCAGGCGCTTCCGCCTCGAGTCGGCACAATGAAGAGGGAGCAATAACCGGAAGGGCCGAGGGTGAGTGTCCTTCCCGGGGCCGCGGCGGCGGAGGCCTCCCCCGAGCCCTTCCCACGACCGTTGGGCTTCCGGGCGCGCGAGCCTGACACCTCCCCCCCCCGCCCGCCCCGCGGTGACTGGGGAGCTGCATCCCCCGCCCCCCGAGTCCAATGTTCCTACTCCCCCCCTCCCCCCACCACCTGCCGCCCGGCCTGTCTCGCTGCCCCGCGGCTCCTGGGAGTCTCCGGGGAACCCCGTGCCGGGGCAGACACAGGAGGAGGGGCCGGGCCGGGCCGGGCCGGGCCCCTGAGTTCCTGAGCGCTGCGGGGACCGGCTCCCCCGGGGCCGCGGGCCCCCCTCGCTGCCGGCCTGGTCTGGCGGCCTCGCGGGGTCGGCAGTTCGCAGCGCGAGTGTCTGGGACAGGGCCGCCCGGTGCGAGCGGGGCTGGCGTGTCCCCTGTCCTTGCTGGAGCCCGTGAGGTCCGGCGGGGGCGGAGAGGAAACCCAAAGGCTGGCGCACCCTGCCAGGAAGCAGCGGCGGTTTGACAGCTCAGCCTCGTGGGCAAATCCCGTCCTGTACTTTGACTCTGAGCTTCCTCCCTGTGTGCGTGGTGCATTTCATAACCTTCCCTTGTTGTTGAGTGTGTAGTTGGGTTTTCCCGGGACAATTATAAACCGTGTTGTTCGATCACTAATATATAGCTGCATAGCTGATTCTTGGTTAACTTTCCCCACCCACCATAGATTATCTTGAAGGGTGTAAAACTCTCCCCTTATCCAGTAGCAATTGTGGAGCTCCACAACACTGTGTAATTATGGATTTAGTACCAGTACACCCATCTAGGCATTGGCCTACTTTATTATGCCTTCCTTTTAAGTGCAATGTCTGTGTGGTTTCAAGCACTTCATTTGAAAATAACCTAGTCTTATTTATAGAAAGTTTCATAAAATATATGAGAGAGAGAGAGAGAGAATTAAAAACTTAGGGTCAGATGTACAGATGTCTTTAGGTTCCTAAAGATGCCGGTGTAGGGCCTAGCAGGCTTTATGAAAGCACTTCAGCAGGTTAGTCATGTAAGTCCCAATTTGTTAATCTCTAAGGTGCTACAAGTACTCCTTTTCTTTTTGCCAATTGGGAAGCTAACTCACCCAGGGTACATCTTCACTGTGATAAAAGCCCCACAGCATGGCCACAGCTGCTCCTGCAGCTCAGCCTGCAAGGCTATAAAATTGCGGTGCATAGGCCGGGGGGAGAGTCGTCTCAGAGCTCAGGTTGCAGCCTGAACACGGAAACCGCAATTTTTAGCCCTGCTGCTCAAACCCGGCAAGCCTGAGTCAGCTGACCTAGGCTCTGTGACTTAGTGCCGCAGGTTTTTTATTGAAGTGTAGACATAACCTTAGGTGCCTCATTGGATTTTTCAAAAGTGCCTGTCTTGAATTTTAGATGTCTATATACCTTTGTACGTCTGGCCTTTTCTTCCTCTTCGTGTGTCCTGGTATAGCTAAACCTAATAGTTTTCAGATGGGTGACGTGTTTTGTTTACTCATGCCTGGGTTGAGCCCTTCAAAATGTTGTCTTAAATTTGAGTTCCAGCTTCCTGAAAAAATATATATATGATGGCAGGCACAGTTCGGTTTCAAATTAAATTAGTAGTATTGCTTTGATTCAGAATAAAGAAATACAGTAAAAAGAAAATGTAAATGCTTGACATTTAGTTATATAGATCTTATTTGTGGATTTCTCACCAAAAGCAAAGGGGGGGGGGAGCGGGAAAGGTGGATAGGTCAAAACAAACAAGTTTTGATTGCAAATTGAAAAAACCATTGTTTCAAAATGAATGTTGAAATAAAATGTTTCATCATGTCAAAAAAAATTATTTTTGGTTAAAACTATTTTCCATATCGGCAAAAAGCTTTGGTGCCCTGATAAATTCATATTTTGGCCAATTTGTAATTTACTGCGGGAAAGAAATTGCCCAGCTTTAGTCTTGATAAGATACGCAATGTGTACTGAGGAAAACCATGAGTTACTCATTTCCTAAACCTGTTATGTTTTTATTCCTCTTGAATCTGTTGTTAAACAGTTGATTATTTGAAACTACCTCCTTTTTTTTTTCTCCCCTCCAGGTGCAAAGTATTCTGTTGAACAGCAATTACAATGGGAGATGCTGCAAAACCTTGCTTTGCCAAAAGAAAAAAGGAGTGGGGAGTTTTAGATGAGGAGGAATTGAAGAGGAGCCCTTTACAACAGGACTGCCACGCCATGGATGATTACGGACCTGGCAAAAAAATAGATATAGGCTTTCCGAAGAAAAAGGGAACACAAGCTCACTGTGGAAACAGTCCCAGAAAAGGACCACATTGTATTCTGAATAGCTCAAATTCTTTTAAAAACATGGGTCACAACCAAGGGGTAAGGATAAATGATACCCCAAAAGACCAAATTAAGAAATGGATATCGAATGACCATCGTGGCAATTCAGACAGCTGGAGAGAGTACAAATCTACAGTTCGGATTCCTGTGCTTAACAGGACAAGAAAAGACTCTCTTCATGAGGTTGAAAGTGCAGGAAGCAGAAATGTAAGAAGACTGCCTCAGAAAGACTTAAATGAAGAAATGTCAGACACACAGAAAGGAAACTCTGGTAATGAACACATTTTTTACATAGTTTTTAAAGTAAAATCGATTACTGTGTATATGTCCGGAAAGTACAACTTTAAGGTTCACTGTTAATGCAAAAAATTAAATAAAACCATTTCAGTTCCGTAACACTTCTATCTTGCAAAGTATCCTCTGTACTCAATGGCAGCATTTTAAGCAGTATTGTAACAGTATGTGATACAAAGATTGTATTTATAAACTGGTTGTACTATGAAACCATCTTGTTGGTTTGGTAAGTTAATCGCTTTATAAACGTTTGACAAGTATATAGCGACAAGTGTGATGTCCTAGTCTGCAACTTCAATATTTTTCATTTTTCCAAGATACAACTTGATATAAATCTCTCCAGTCTTTAAGCATTGTTGAAGAAATTGCACAAGTAATTGGCATTACTTGCTGCAAGACCACATGGTAAACTTACAACTTGTTCAGTAAGTTAGCTAAAAAAAGTTAAAAGGAAATGGGAATAAGACAAGGTGGAAAATAGCTAACTTAATATGTTATCTTCTCATGCAGGTAACTTCTATACGTGTTTCAATCTGTAACTTTAAAATAAAACTGTAAAAGTCTTACAGTGTTGTGTAAAATAGGAGGGGGGGGCTTATTCTGATTTGAATAGGAACTTTTCCTCTGTAAGGAGAGAAGAATAAGATCCACACTATAGAGACATATTCACCAGTCTTGGCATAAAGTGTTATCCTGATAGCGTAGTGACCTTCAAGTAGAGAAGCACTAAATTGGATGGTGAGACACTGTAAACCACATGCTTAGAAAGGTTTTAGTTGTTTAAAAAGAACAAGAATGAGTGACTTGTCTCTATTCTTCCCCTGCTGCCCTGCCCTGCCCGGCCCCAAAAAGGGTGAGGAGTGTGTGTGTTTTTTTTTCTTGTGCTAAACCTTGTAAAGTTTAACTATGCTGAGGGCTGCTATCTAGACGTTGTCTTTTGTTAAACTTTCTTGATGTAAAGATTTGCAGTGCCGTTGCCGCAGTGCTAGTGAGTGAGAACTAGAATAGCTTGATAAAAAGGGAATTAAGAAAAAAGGGAAAAAAGGGAAGTAAGAGAGAAATGGAACAGTAATGGAAGAACTAAAGATCTGAAAATATGGAGGAAAATGAGACGTGAAGAAGAAATGAAGGCCATTTGACATTTATCAGGATGATCCAGAACATTGCTACGGAAAAGGTTAAAAGAGAATTCTTTGAGTTGTTGAGGTCGTGTGTGGGAGGAAGAAGGGGTGGTGTTTTTGTTTTTTCATTTAAATTGGATATTTGTCTTATGTCCTGTTACCGCAACGGTCTTCCAAATATGTCAAGAAAATCATACTTATATAAAACAAATATACTTCTGTATAAAACAAATGCATCAAACTGGGGGTTGTGACCCCTCAGGGAGTCGCAAGGTGGCTACAAGGGGGTCGCGAGCTGTCAGCTCAGTGGGGCTGACGTCCCTGATCCCCATTAAATGAATGCCCCCATTTTAAATTTATGGGGTGGGGGGTTGTCACAGACAGAGGCTTGCTGTGTGAAAGGGGTAGGATGTCCAGACAGCAAATGTGACAAATCGGAATGGGGGGGGGGAGGTAATAGGAGCCTATAGAAGAAAAAGACCCAAAAATCGGGACATCTGGTCACCCTAGAAAGGGGTCACCAAAAAAAAAAAGTGTTTGAGAACCACTGGCATAAATGATCTGTAACAAATTGTTTCCTGTATGAAAGCTTTAAATATGGTACTTTGCAGTTAGATAACTTGAATACTAGTTGACAACAGTGCACCCTGAGGTAGACTTGGCTTTGACTGAGTCCTTGTGGCACGCTTTAGCTGTGTCTACACTTATAACGTGGCAGTGGCACAGCGATAGCACTTCAGTGTAGACACTCGCTACAGCGATGGGAGGGGTTCTGACAGCTCTGTTGTTAATTCACCTCCCTGAGAGGCGGTAGCTAGGTGAACAGAAGAATTCTTCCAATGACCTACCGCTGTCTACTCCGGGGGTTAGCTCAGCATAGCCACGTCTCCCAGAGGTAGGAATTTTTCACACTCCTGAGAGACGTAGCTACGCCGATCTAAGTTTCCGGCGGAGACCAGCCCTTGGTTGTCCTTCGTAAGTTTTTATGACGTCTCCCCATCCCTTCAGATCCTTCACTCAGTCAACTGCCATGGAACCTCTGGCTCCCCATGTTCCGTCTGGTAGCTTCTCAAGCACTGCCTGTCTTTTACTAGAGCGGC